TGGCCATATATGGACACCACCATATATGGATACAACCACATCTGGCCATATATGCTTCCATATATGCTCATCAAAACCCATATATGGCTTTATAAAACCATATATGGAATTTTGATATGGCCATATATGGCCAGAAATTACTTTTTTATAGGGGCGACACTGCAGTTATATTCAAAGGTAATACTTGGGACCAAACATTCAATGTAGCACAAACAGATATGTTCCTTATTCAAAAATGGTTCTCCCAAAATGTATTATCAATGAATGTTTTAAAAACAAAATTTATGCCAATTTTCCTCAGACAAAGTAGTGAGCCTCCCACCAACCTCAGACTTGTGATGCATGTTTGTGGAGATCCAGGTGTCTCTACCTGTGGTTGTTTACATTTAGAGAGAGTAGATCATTACAAGTACTTGGGAGTGATATTGGATAGTAGGTTAAGATGGGAACCCCATATTGAATATTTAAAAACAAAACTTAGGAAATTAATTTATGTTTTTAGAAACGTTCGCGAAATTCTTAACATTAATGAAATAAAAAAGTTATACTATGCATTTGTCCAATCAGTACTTCAATATGGAATTATAGTATGGGGAGGAGCTAGTAGCAATATTTTAAAGCCTCTGTTTGTCATACAAAAACTAATTATTAAAATAGCTTTTCAATTCAACAGGCGTTTCCCTACAAATGTATTATTCAAAAACACTCAATTACTTTCGGTGCGTCAACTTTTTATCAAAACTTTACTTGTATATACCTACTCTAATCAAGATATGATAGTGACGCCAATCACACATAACTATTCCACCAGAGGAGCTGTAAATGTAGGTATGCAGGTACCCCGAGTTTTCAAGTCTGCAAACCTTACTAATGCTTTTTATATTGCGAATTTTTTGTATAGGAATATACCATCAGAGATTAGAAATCTACAGGTATCTCTTCCAGTTTATAAACGTTCGGTAAGCAGTTGGCTGTCGGATATTGGGCTCGATCAGTCTGAGACACTTATCGGTTCAGTATACATGACCTAAAATAATTATACACCAAACAATATTTAGCGTACAGATATCAGTAACTGCAACCCCATTCAATCGACTACCTTTTATTTAGCATTAACTGTTCCTGTAGCTGTCTCATAGCTTAGTTGTAAATAGTATTTTGATTAATTTAGTTTTAATTTTTAAGAATATTTCTAATTTGTAATAGAGCTCGTCCCGCGCACAGGTCTTTTACGGCCTATGCGGGACTATTGTTCGTATTTTGTATATGTATATATTGTAAACATTTTTGGAAATAAAGCAGATTTTGATTTGATTGATTTTTGAACTCTTCTATATCACCACTACATTTCTTATGAGATTTACTTTTGACACATAGTCTATAAAGTGTGAGCAAGTACGTAGATTAATTATATCTGCTTATAAAACCTCCCTTAAGTTCATTACAATCAATTATCCTCGGAATATTTCCACAAAACTAAATAGCAATACACAGCGAGAGTGCGCACGACGCTCGCCACTAGGGTGACTCATGCCTTTATCCCCCCTCCTCGCGGACAGAGCGAGGTAGCGACCATCGACATATAAAACTAACTGGATCGGCTGCTAGGCTCCGCGACCCGAGCCAACGACCGGGGTTGCGTTTCAGATTTTGCAGGCGTCATGTGGGATTAAGCGTCTCGCTGCGCCACATCTTAGCATTGTCGCGGCCAGGACGATGCACTTTATCCAGCCCTTTACTCTCTACTAAAACGATGTAAGGCATTTTAATAATCAATTTTCATGAACTTTTGTACAAGTAATAAAAGTGTAAAAATAACCCTGTAAATAACCGAGTTTGTTTAATTATTAATTACAACAATTAATAAATATTAACTGACGGCGGATATTTCACACTGAGGTTCCTTAACAAATATAATTTAAATTCCGATTTTAATTTTTTTATGATGGAATCTATATAAATATAGATTAGATACAAATAAGTTATCGTTGGTGTTGCACCTTATTACAGCCGTATTCAATTTAATTCATGTCTTAACTGTATAAGTTTTGCTTTTTCTGTCTGGATTCCAAAATGTTCGTTTATGCTAAGACAATGATAACTCATTTTAGTAAAACATTTGTTCAGCAAACCATCATGAATCTTTACGATTTACGTTGTTCATGTATCAATAGTTCGTGGCCTATTTTGGTAATTTGTATTATAAATTACCAATCTAAATCGTCTAATAGTACTTAATTTCATATTGTAAGCCGTCATTTTGACAGCATTTCGGGTCATCCTCGGTCTAAACAAATAAAAATTGTTATGATAAAATTTTATGATTTTGAGAAAGATTTCAAATACTAATTTTATATGTACTTGTTATGCTTGAAGCGTTGCAAATTCCTTAATTAAGTTCTGTATTTTTGTGTGTGTATGTCTGTTGCTAACGCATTAGTGTCCTTTTTCTCAATGTCACGAAAAAAAGGTAATGAAAATGTCAACCCGAATAAAGTGTTAAATGGTGAGGTTGAGGCAATACTTTAAATACTTTTAGCCATTGTGGAACTAACTTTCAACTATAGACTTACCTTAGGGATATGCCTCATAGATCTAGGCCTATAAAGCTCTTTTTAGTTTAATCATTGGATTTAACATATGGACCAACACGAGCCGCGTGACATTTAATTGCGAAGCATTTGTTTTGGCTTGAAACTATCAGACACTGTATTTGCGAAGGTTTATTAGGTAATAGTTTTGACAGCATAATCTGAAAATAAGCAAACCAACTGCTGTTCTTAATATAAGAAGGTTTCAACTGACTACTATAAGAGCCCCGTGCGTAGAACGGGCACACAGCTGGTAAAAGTAATAAAATATTACAATTAAAAAACCTTTACGACTTTGTTCTTTCTTCACTTACTACTCTAACGAAACCAATTATGTTTCAATGTTACAATACAAAATAGTTTATGTTAAAATGGGTTTTATCAGTTTCTCGTAAAATACCAAATATTCTGGGGTAAGGTATTAGTAAGAACGAGGTTAGATTGTATAAGAACATTTTATTTAGGAAACTTTGTAAAACAAAGAAACATATTTAGCCTAAACATTGCTAAAAAGAATAAGCTTATTTAATTTCTGCCGCATACCAAGCTTTGACAGAAAATCTTCTGCTGTTTTACGCTTAGAAATGCTGTGGCATATTGTAAGGGTTCATAAAATTCGTGAATATTTAGAATCAAACTAAACCCTTACTGGCAGAATCGCCTCGCCAATTTGCTGAAGTTAAGTTTCAAAATGTAAACAAAACAAATTAGCAGATGACACAAGTTCAGCAACAGCTGATCTTGTGATTCACCGCCGTACCACCGGGCCGCGCATCAGTCGCCCGCGCCTGCGCAGGAACCCCAGCCACAGCGCTGGATGTGCGCGGCGCTCGCAGAGACAGTGTGTCGGAGTCGGCGAGAGTCGACGGTCAGCAGGAGCAGTGGCCTGAGCAATTAGGCAGAAGAAGGACGCCCGACCCTACACTTTCGCTCACGCCAAGTAAGTGGACGACATTCGCCATTCGCCGTTGTTAATATCCTAGGGCGCCTAGGATAACTCGACCTCACTCGCAATCGCTTTTATTGCGCCTACCGTTTATTCACTGTTAAACAATTACGCTATTTAAGTCAAACGTCCGCGGGAAGTTTAGCCTTAAATTTAACTGAATCATTAACAGAGACCGCTTTATTTAAACTTGTGATTATTCTCAAATATCGTTTTACTATAACATAGAGTGTTATCTGTTCTGTTAAAATAACTTTGTAAACATATAACGATCAGCTTTGATTTGTGGAATATCTGAATTTCGTTCGTTACATAATTTATAGACCGTGAGTTCAAAGAAGTAACGGTCAGAACGAGATCCGCCCGGTTATAATTCCTTTCTGTTTTAATTGTGTTGTGTTATTTGTATTGTTTAAATCTATTCAAGTTCAATCGGTTCCGGTCACGCAAGGTGACTTTTCATATTCGTGTGTTTTTGTTTTGTTTTGTTTATCGCATAGGTCCGTGAGAACACGGTGTTACCTAAATATAATGTGTGGTGTTTAGTTTGTAGTCAATGTTGTTCGTAATTACTGTAGCAGCACTTCAGCTCAGTAGCGGCTAGCCCATAAGGACTCTCGGACGCCGCCCTCCCAACAATACAGAAATCAATATTTTTTTTATTTATGTAATAAAAAAATAATATGTCGTAATTAAAATTAAATTACAATTACTTACGACTACTTAATCAATATGATAATAATATGAAATGAAATAGTTTTAAATTATGAATCCAGTAATGACTGTTTTGCGATAGTCGCTTTCATAATGTGGAATGCGGACGGCGGCAACCTCCGTCCCAAACTCAATGCATGTAGTCTTATGGTAGAAACACCTAACAGCGCTGAGGGTGCCGTGACGTCATTCCAATGCTTTACAATAGGGACTCTGGGGCAGAGTCCAAAGCTGCGCGCGCATCCATAAATCAGGGCAGCCACCCTAAACTGGATAATTCTGCATCACACACGATTAGGATAGGAAGAACCATGTTGGCAGCGCTGGAGCCATCATCCACACTGTCACTACCATAAACATTAACTAACCTCACTTCTTTCCATGTCCATGACCACAGTTCAGTTATAGTTTAGTGCCAAACGACCTGTTGTTTTGTGATCAATAGTGTTTAGTGATAGTGATGGAGGCGTAAGGAAGGCAGCGGTAGTTTGTTGAAGATTGAAAGAGCTAAGTAGAAATTATTAATAGTTATACTTAATTGATTGAGTTAGTTAGTTGGTATCTTTGAGTCAATAGCCTAAGTTACGTCTGTAGTTTTTGTATAGGCTAACCTAATCAACCCGAAAACTAAGTAAACTAACCATAGGTAAAGTGACTCTGACAATTTTAGTTATAGTTACTTATTATTAGTCTTAATAAGTTATTACGGGTAAATTTGCCGTGGGCTGAAGGCCTAAATCTAAATATTAATGGACGGCGGCATTTCGTTGTCGTCGACGGCTAACGTCACTAACGAAGTTAGCCTGATTATCAATGAAGGGATCAAAAATATTGACCACAGAATTTCTTTGAAAAAATTAGGACCTCCTAGACCTTTCATGAACATAAACCAAATTCAAAACAGTTCAAAGAATAAGAATAGCTTCACACGAAAATTTTCGCCACATATGTACAATCATGCAGATTGGCTATGTGGTTGTTCAATTAAAAATTCATTTTTCTGCTACACTTGTTTGGTCATGGGGGTTCAAGATAGAGCATGGACTGTAGACGGCATTTCAGACCTTAAACATCTACTGGAAAAAGTAAAAAAACACAAAACAAGTGAAAAACACATAAATGCGTCAATAGAATATGCTGTTTTAGGTAAAGTTGATATTAGATGCCAATTGGACAATGCATATAGGTTAAAAATACAAAAACAAAATGAAGATGTTTCGAAAAATCGATACATTCTAAGTAAGCTAATTGATGCAATTAAATTTTGTGGAGCGTTTGAATTAGCATTACGAGGACATGATGAACGCGAAAATTCAAAAAATCCTGGCATATTTCGTGGTTTGGTTAACCTTATGGCGGAGCTGGATGTAACATTGCAACAGCACATAAATCAAACAAATAACCGAGTGTTTTTGGGTCTGTCTAAAACCATACAGAACGAGTTATTGGACTCAATATATTACGTTTGTCTGCAAATGATTCGTGACGAATTGACACAAACCGACTATGTTGCTATTGAAGCCGACGAAACAACAGACTGTGCCACTTTATCCCAACTAGTATTTGTTATTAGGTACGAGCTGAATGGCACGATTCACGAGCGATTTATCACTTTTATTAGACCAAAAGGCCATGATGCAGAATCAGTTAGCGAAACAATTTTTGAAGTATTAGAGCAATTAAACCTCGACAAAACTCCTGATAAAGTCATTGCCCAGAGCTACGATGGGGCTTCCGTAATGAGTGGCCAACACACGGGAGTACAAGCGCGTGTAAAATCTAAATATAAGAATGCAAATTTTGTCCACTGTTACGCACATCAATTAAACTTAATCATTGAACGCAGTGCTACACAAAATAAGCAGGTTAAGATATTCTTCAGTAATATCGAGGGGTTTTCATCATTCTTTTCCCAGTCAACAAAGAGAACTGCAGTTCTCGATGAGATAGTAAAACGTCGTATTCCAAAAAGCTCAGGTACTCGGTGGAATTTTAAATCCAGAATTGTAAGCACAATTTTTAATTATCAAAGAGAGTTGGAGGAATGTTTAAGTTACATACTCGACGATGACACCAATGACTATGCCACAATAAATAAAGCTGTTGGCCTAAGAAGTATTCTAAAAGACGAAGACTTTATTTTCTGGCTGGACTTTTTCAATCAAATACTGCCCCACAGTGACATTCTGTACAACCAACTGCAGCAAACAACAATTGATTGCGTCAAGGCGTTTAAGTTTGTCGGCGATTTCAAAACTGTGGTAGATCGCGTAAGAAACTCGACCATGTTAGATAAACCGAGAGATAGTGAACCCGAATCGAGCAAAAAGCGGAGAAGGCACGACGATCAAAAACGCGTCGTCGCAAAGGAAGTGTGTGACATAATTACGTCGGGAATTGATGACCGTTTTACGTTTGTAAATCATTTGTCCGCGGCAAAACTGTTTCAGCCAAGTTTGTTTGGGGAGTTTAAAACCAAGTTTCCCGAAAAAGAGTTACACGCTGCTGCGGAACTATTTAGCCTAAATAAAACTGAATTGAAACAGGAGTTAAATGTTATTTACAATAGGGATGATTTTTCAACGGCCACAGGGTCATTAAGACTACTCAACTTTGTCTATGACAACAACCTCAAAGATGTGCTTCCAGAGTCAATCAAACTTTTAAAAATCATAAGCACAATACCTATGACTACTTCGGAAAGTGAACGTTGTTTCTCTACTTTGAAACGAATTAAAACGTTTACCAGGAGTACCATGAAACAAGACAGACTAAGTGCGCTTGCTATGTGTTCTATCGAAAAAAAGCTGTTGTCAACTTTAAACTTCAACGAAAAAGTAATAGATCACTTCGCCGGGCAGAAAGAAAGGAGGATGGATTTCACATTCAAACAGTACAATTAAAGTTAGGCCTTATCCTCATGGTATGGTTTTCTACTCATATTGCCGTGGATGTTTTAATATAAAATACAATTAGTCAAGCCTTACCCTCATGGTTTGGTTTTCTATTCGTTATTGCCGTGGGTGTTTAAATTATACAATTCAATCAATGTCAGGCCTTACCGTTTGGTTATCTACTCATTATTGCCGTGGATTTTTTACTATTAAATTATCAATTGTTAGTTATATGTTCAATAGAGTGTAGTCCCGTTTTACAAGGCCGTAGGCAGGGAGGGGGTTAGAGGGTCAAACCCCTCCCCCAAAATTCCGAAATTGAGCAGTACAAATTAAAACTAGGTTTAAAAAGTTGAATTATGAAATAGAAACCACAATAGAGGATTAATTGTTATGTTTTGCAATATCTATTCATATTTAATATAGGCCTAGTTCTATTAGGATAATAAATCTGATCTATTAAATAAATTGGTAAAAACTATTTCAAAAATATACTTTACTTTACTCTACTTATGTCTATTTGCTCATGCATGACAAACAACAGGTGAAATGGGAGTTTTTGGACTATTATTGGACACAGTTTTAGGCGTTAAAATTGCTTCAGAAAGTCACCAAACGGCTTTAAAAATTTAAAATTTTTTCCGGGGGAGGACCCCCGGACCCCCCTCTTCTGATGGGGGGTGCTCCACACCCCCCAAACCCCCCGGAGCCCCCCCCTAGACTAGGTCCTAGAGCCGCCACTGCTTCAGCTGTGAGATATTTTATCTATGGGAATAAGAGTTAATTAATAGTGGATTTATTAGAGTGATTTTAATACTTTGTTGGCTTCTTTACTAACTAACACGCTTTAATTTGTTTGTACATATTTCAGAACTACACTAACCATTGTAGCTATTCATTAGCTTTTACACTAGAACCAGTGCACAGTAGTTATGTTCTATGTCGTTGCTTAGCCGCTATTAACTGTTAATGTTCTAGGTAGTTGCTTTACTATTCTTTACCATATTTACCACTTCATTATTAATTATTCATTTAGCCTTCCACTAATTATTGATGTGTTGAACCATATGCATTTAAATATTCTAACTTATGATACGACACCGCTACTAACACACTAACCTTAGAAATTGCTTCAAATCTTAGCATAACGCTTAACCTTTGCTTAACCTTTGACTATTAACGCTTAACTAAGGCTTTGGGGATTCGTATTGGCTTTGGGAATTTTAATTAGCCGTGACATTAGACAGTTAAGCCCCAACGTCTATTTCCATTCTTCACCATTTCCTTGATTCCTGGACTGTTGCTAATTGAGTGCTCTGTGTGTTGTATGTGTTGTGTGTGTGCAGCTAACTGCTTTGGTTAGCTGTAGTTTGCTAAGTAGCTTTTCTTCTTTCTCTATTACTTCGGGCACACCGGAAATAAGTTAGATTTAATTAACACTTAAGCTCTTAGCTATAAGTCTCCTACTCTGTCACTTTATGACTATGAATGTTTGTTGCTTGCCACAAACTTTTCTTTCTTCTTTCTCTATTACTTCGGGCACACCGGAAATAAGTTAGTTATAAGTTAGCTTTAACCTATTCTGGAAAACCCGGAAATAAGTTAGTTATTAGCTAGATTTAATCTATTCCGGAAAACCCGGAAATAAGCTATTTATAAGTTAGCTTTAATTACTTCGGGCACACCGGAAATAAGTTATTTATAAGTTAGACCTAAGCTATCCCGGAAAATCTGGGAATAAGTTAGTTTCTAGTTAGACTTAACCTATTTGAAATAAGTCTTTGTGTGCTCAACCTGTCTGTGTGTGTGTGTGTGTGTCTCGTATGTTATTCTTTCTATAACGATCCTTCTCCGCCCTACTCTGTATGTTCGTTTGCACCTTTCCATATTCCTACTCTCTCACGGGGCTTTGAACTAGTCCACTCGCCCGAAACGCATTGTATTATTTTAAATAATAAAGACGCATCTAAACTAATTCTGCTCGGTCCGTGGCGCATGGACTTAGGGTAGTGAATTAAATAAATGAATAATTAACACTCCACCGAGGAGGTTGTGAACATAGTCGCGCACGAAGCTATAACTTCGAAACAAAATCTCGCCCTCCCTCTTTTATTCACTCGTTTCCTGGCAATGATGAGGCACGAATAAAGCCAAGAGGCAAAATATTCCCGCCTGAGCCAGGAAAACGACTTTAGGATACAAAAGCGGGAAACCCGACCAAAATTGACCCCCGGAATAACCCAGCTCGGCTAGGCTATCAGGGACGACGCGTAACGCCCCGACCCGACAAATTAACGAAACACACCCGGAAGCGGGTTACAAAATGGCGCCCGAACAGGGACTTATCGCATAATATATTGTTGGAAATAGAGAGAAAAATGACAGGCGCAAATGAAAAAAACGACGGTATAACACACCCGACCGTCAGTACACCCGAAACTACCATTGGTCCAGTTACGACCTTGTTAACGCACACAACGCAGACATTTACCGCTGTTTCCGTACCTTCAATAGGACAACCTATACCAACGTTTACAAGTACCGGCGCGATCCCAAAACAAAGAATGGAATCAGGGCGCGACTTGTCAGACCTTACAGCCACGCGAAAAGTAGGTTGGGTCTATTATCTTAAGAAAAAGGAATTAAAAGAGAAGATGAGCGAATACGGTCTAGACACTGAGGGTAACAGCGATACTCTCAGGAGCCGCTTTGTTGAATTCTTAAGACAATCCGCTCTGCCAGCGACAGAAGCCGGGCCGGAATTTAGTGAATTTATACCTCCAAGCGGACATGGTGGTGATAATTACTTTACTAGTTATAGTAAAGACGACAGAAACGCGTCCAGCGACGAATCAGTCGTTGTAAGAGAAATGCTTGGCCTGCCGCCTGACGCGAGCGTGGACACGGTAAAACGAATGCTCTCAGTCATTTCCATGGCAAACAACGCCGCTCTTCCGCCAATGACATGTCATGAGGCCCATTACCCGTTGAATTTAAATACTAACACAAGTGTGTCCCCAGCAATGAACATGCAAACGACTTCACGCCCTCAACATAATTACCAATCAAATAACGCCCCTCTGCAGTATTCAAGGGAAACCAATTTCGCTAGTCCGCTTTCCGCAGCGACGATTTGTAACATAGCTAGAAAGTGGAACCTCCACTACGACGGAGACCGTAACCCCGTATCTTTTCTAGAGCGCTTAGAAGAATTAAGACAGTGTTACGAGGTCGCCCCAGCCGATATTTTGAAAGCTCTTCCTGAGCTATTGCGTGGAAACGCTCTGTTGTGGTACAGAAATAACAAGGATTTCTGGCAAACTTTTGAGGACTTCAAAGAATCTTTTGAGGTACAATTCTTGCCCCCGGGGTACAAAAGAAATCTTGAAGACGAGATTCGCTCACAAACTCAAGGCGAAAATGAACCATTTCGCAGCTTTGTTGTCGCGCTGACGACTCTTATCCGACGATGTGGTGGCTATAGTTTAGATCAAACCCTTGATCGGTTATTCCTCAACATGCGACCCGAATATAAGCTGACACTAAGAAGAGACTCGTGTTCTAGCTTAGCCGACATGATTAAGGAAGCTGAAAGATATGAATCTTACATTAGAGATAAAACTCTCTACCGACCCCCGCCAAACCCAGCTCGGCTAGGCTATCAGGGACGCGTAACGCCCCGACCCGACAAATTAACGAAACACACCCGGAAGCGGGTTACAATATAATTTTGTTAAACATAATAACAATTAATTTGATTAATTTCATGTCATGGCTTTCCTCACCAAATTCATTATTACCTTTATGATTAAGAAAAACGTTACCAGCAAAGGTTCTACATGCTAACAAAATAGTTTTTTTGGGAGGTTATTGTAACACGCACGTGCGCCCAAGGTCAAGTGTCGAAGACACGGTTTCGCGCGCTATATCCCACATGCTGCCTTCAATTTGCCCATGCGGCAACCCCGATACACTCCTGTATTGGCTCGGAAAGTTCTACACGACCCTTACGGCCTGCGCGCAATCCAGTTAGTTTTATATGTCGATGGTAGCGACGGACCGTTTTTCGAGCCCTACTTCAACCTGAGCGCGCAATCCAGGATCCCCTCACGTCGATTTAAGAAAGAGAAGAGTACCGTCACGCCCCCACTCCTTCTCTAAAGAGGTTCTCATCAGTTTCTGGAAGGGGAAAACGAGGCGCTATAAAATAATTAATCCAGGTAAAACAACAATACAGTACATTCAAAACAGACACCAAATATGTAACATATGATAACAATTCTAAAAATACCAAACAGCACAGAGTCTATCTCGGCCTTTATTGGAAAACCCCCTCCAAATTTCTGAAGTCTTTAAACAATGTTCCTGGAGCACTGGCATTTAATCTTGGCGAAGCAACTGAGAACATGAGACAATAAGGTCCCACTGCCACTAGAAAAAATTTGTTTTTCTAGTGGGGCCTTGTAGGAGGCTACGGGGAAGGCCCCCTTGAGATTTATTGGATGAATGGAGCCTAAAGAAAATTGAATATGTTTATCTAAATTGATTATGTTACAGGTCTGGGTGAACCCATGATATTATTATTTTTAATTTCTTGTTCTTATTTTGTTAACACTTCTGTGAATAATGTCCTCATTGAACCAGAAACATTTTCTTTACAAGTATTTTATTTACAATCTGACGTTCTATACTGAAACAATAAGTACATGTCATGACAATTTAACATGAGTTAATTACACTCCAGCGAGTGCACTAACATAAAACAAAACATTTCATAAAAAAAAAACTAGAAACGATTTGGAAGATCGATTGGATGTTTTCTTCTGAGCCTATAAGTAGCATCGCTATTATCAAGGAGGTTAACTGCCAGGAAATTTGGATGATTTTCGAATTTTCTTTGATATTTTTCGCTTTGTTTTTGATTTCTTCTCTGATAAAAAGTAACTTTGTATCTTGACGAATAACTTTATTAGATACATACCAAGATGAAGAAATAAATGCTGTAAACAACTGCGACGCTGCCTACAATGCACTGGAAAAATAATATAAAAAGTAAATGCAGTCGCAAACGTTTGCCGGGGATAGCTCAGCCTACAATGGCTGGGTAAAGTTCCAGGGTCTGCGATAAGGTCAGGGAAACCACTAGGCCAATAGCCGGGTCTAACCGGTATAGGACTGGCTCATACACGGGCACTGTGAACAAGTCACCAAAACAAACGTGCAATAATCACTACCAGGCCTACGCCGATTCTCCACTCTCCTAGGGGGTCGTTGCTGACTACGCAACTCGGGCTTCGTCCTAACTATCCAATAGTTAAGCCCAGAGTGCCTAAAACACAGTCAGTTACACGACGACTTGCCAATAAAAACCACAACGCGCATTATCACCAGGCGGGGTCTACTAGGCCACTATAATCCAATACACAACTCTAATGCCCAAGCTAAGAATCAGACAATTTACTCAATAATAATACCATATAATAATACAAGTGCACTATAAGCAGAGTGACTACACCTCTAGCAGCTGGACTCAATAAATACCAAGCTAAACAAGCAAAACTAGATGTCAATTGCACTACTATCAAATTATTGAGCTACTTAGTAGCCGATAAATAAATATTAAATACGATCCAAACAGTAGATAAATATATTATCTGATAGCCGGTACTCCGCTATCCAAGCTACCAAGATAACGTGTTGGATTACTAAACAAGCTGTTCAGGTTAAATTAAGTTAATCAAATGATTAATCAACAACAACCCTACTACTGCTACTGCTACTGTTACTACCAACGTTAAATCACTTAGCTGGGCTTCTGTTAATAGGCTAATAATATTAGCTACTAGCCTACTGGCCACGTGCTTCCAACTACGCACGCTAAATCGTGCAGCCTAGGTTTGTCGGGCCTCAGAGTTATTAGTAATGTAATTAACTCTTGGTAAAACGCAAAATAACATCTACTACAGTCAATAAAATATATTATTGGCGTTTTAGCACCTGCCTAGAACCGTCAGGAATATACTTTAATATTATTCCTGACTAATATAAATCCTAACTACCGTCAGGCTTTGACCAGCACGGTTACAACTTTAACCCTCGCAAATAAATCAGATATTAATATTTTTAAACTAATAAGTTCAGCTCCTTAACCAAAATCAAAAGAATGTCGTCCACTCACCAGTAGTGGGTCTTAACACCCAACTTAACACCGACACTCACTGTCACACCTCGTACACTCTGTAGCACCAACGTACGCCAGCCGTCTCCACAGGACACCAACACTCACTTCCTCACTCTTTGGGATCCACCACAAGAATGTCCTTCTCCCAGACTGTCCTGAGAAACTAGGATATCCCAGGCTTATCGGCACTGATAAGCCGGGTCAAAGGGCGCTCGCTAGCTTCGCCGCCGCCGCTTGCTGATGCCAGCAATAGGTGCGCGGTCAAATAGCAAATATCATAGATAAAACATACACCCCCCTAGGAAAAATAACTCGTTACACAGCTTTCGCATAGTAATTTTTTTCCGTAGTAGGCTAAACAATGTAATTATGTATTTTCGCAGGTGAACCTGCATGATGATGGCGCTAGTGATGGTATGATTCGAAACAGGTCATTTTACAGTAGTGTAGCGAAATAAACTAGACTGGCAATGGCATTGAGAAATGTAAAACAAATCTTGTCAATACAGCTTCAATACGTTTGCATCGGCAATCAGTTTTGTTGTTCTAGAAAACTACTACAATTAATTAATTTGTCCTTTTATCTGAATGTGTTTATATAGTGTAAAATGTTGTTCTCCCGTCGCATATGTTTCTAATTGACTGTCCCTGCACGCCTACCTCTAGCCACAGAAAACATACTACTATAACCACTGAGCTAAAATTATAACTGGAGGTAGCACTGCCATGGCAGAAGTCTGTCAAAAGCGAGTCGCTGATTTTGTTCGGTTGGTATAGCAGTAAGTTTTCTTACCATAGCAATAACATGGCTTCTTATAACTAGGTTGTATTGCAGTGAGTTTTTTTGTCATAGCAATAACATGGCTTCTTATGGACACCCACCTCACGCAAACATGGCGGCTGGCGACACGCATCTTTGACATTCAGTGCTACCTCCAGTTAGAATTATAGCTCAGTGACTATAACCGGTTATAGCCTAGTAGTATGTTTTCTGTGCTCTAGCTGAGAAAATGCTGAGAATCGTCAGTCTCCAGTCACTCCACTCCATATTCCATTCCATTTGTGTTGTCTGTCTGCTGTCTCGTTGTCTGCAAGCAAATCGAATTCGAATGTCAATTTATTGACAAACAAAAGTGTAAGTTTAGTGTAAACCACGAATACTTGAAAGGTTTTATTTTAGTTTAGTATTCGTGGTGTAAACAAACCATTGACTATTGGTAAACTAATCAACCTCATACCTACTATTTATTCTGTTCTCTTCTCTCTGATACCTACCAAATTGTAGATGATAAGTCAGTTGTTTACGGCCGTGAAGATAGCTGTCACCAGGGGCCCATTTCATAATAAACTACAAGTTACAAGTTACAACTTGTAACTTGTAATTTCCATTAGATTTGCATTGGGCGATCAGCTGATTTACTAATAATATTAGTTTGTACTTTATTATGAAATGGGCCCCAGCTGTCGCCTAGCAGTTGCGGCGGCTCCCCCACTCCTTCACCCTGGCCCCAAGATAGATAGTCTGTTATTTATGAGAATAGACCACGAACCTCACCTTGCTACTGATTGATTGCACCTACTGTTATTACACATTGTACAAGTATACAGGATTGTTCTTATAAAAAAATATGTAAATTTAAAAAGTGAAGGATCTTTAGGAAAAAATGCTGTTAAAAGAACACAAATACAGTGGTTTATTATTTCATTACACTATGACCAACATTCATAATTTTCTTACCTTGGCCCTGTTTGATTGAACAAAATTGGATTACTGATTGTACCAGTGTAAATGACTGCTTTTAATAATAAAACATAATAATTGGAATAAAGACTGCTTTTAATAATAAAACCAAATAATTGGAATAAAAGTATAAGATGTTGGCGAAAATGGTGTCGAAAACTACCAAATGGTCAAATAATATTTCACATTCAAGATTTTTTTCTTACCATGACTCCGATTGATTGCACCAAATGTTATTACTGATTGTACTTGTACAGATGATTGCTTTTAATAATAAAATATAATTATTGGAATAAAAGTGTAGGATGTTTGCGTAAAATGGTACCAAAACCACAAAAATGGTCAAATAATGTGCCACATTTACAAATTATTTTTACCATGACCTTGATTGATTGCACCAAATTTTATTACTGATTGTACAAGTATAGATGATTGCTTTTAATAATAAAATATAATAATTGAAAGTTGCGGCGGCTCCCCCACTCCTTCACCCTGGCCCCAAGATAGATAGTCTGTTATTTATGAGAATAGACCACGAACCTCACCTTGCTACTGATTGATTGCACCTACTGTTATTACACATTGTACAAGTATACAGGATTGTTCTTATAAAAAAATATGTAAATTTAAAAAGTGAAGGATCTTTAGGAAAAAATGCTGTTAAAAGAACACAAATACAGTGGTTTATTATTTCATTACACTATGACCAACATTCATAATTTTCTTACCTTGGCCCTGTTTGATTGAACAAAATTGGATTACTGATTGTACCAGTGTAAATGACTGCTTTTAATAATAAAACATAATAATTGGAATAAAGACTGCTTTTAATAATAAAACCAAATAATTGGAATAAAAGTATAAGATGTTGGCGAAAATGGTGTCGAAAACTACCAAATGGTCAAATAATATTTCACATTCAAGATTTTTTTCTTACCATGACTCCGATTGATTGCACCAAATGTTATTACTGATTGTACTTGTACAGATGATTGCTTTTAATAATAAAATATAATTATTGGAATAAAAGTGTAGGATGTTTGCGTAAAATGGTACCAAAACCACAAAAATGGTCAAATAATGTGCCACATTTACAAATTATTTTTACCATGACCTTGATTGATTGCACCAAATTTTATTACTGATTGTACAAGTATAGATAGATTGCTTTTAATAATAAAATATAATAATTGAAATAAAAGTGTAGGATGTTGGCGTAAAATGGCACCAAAGTCACGAAAATGGTCAAATAATGTTATACATTTAAGATTTTTTCTTACCATGACCCAGATTGATTGCACCAAATTTTATTACTGATTATACTAGTATATATGGTTGCTTTTAATAATAAAATATAATAATTGAAATAAAAGTGTAGGATGTTGGCGTAAAATGGCACCAAAGTCACGAAAACGGTCAAATAATGCTACAAATTTACAAACTATTTTTACCACGACCTTGATTGATTGCACCAAATTTTATTACTGATTGTACAAGTATATATGATTGCTTTTAATAATAAAATATAATAATTGAAATAAAAGTGTAGGATGTTGGCGTAAAATGGCACCAAAACCACGAAAATGGTCAAATAATGTGACACATTCACAAATTATTTTTACCATTACCCCGAATGATTGCACCAAATTTTATTACTGATTGTACAAGTATATATGGTTGCTTTTAATAATAAAAAATAATAATTGAAATAAAATTGTAGGATGTTGGCGTAAAATGGCACCAAAACCACGTAAATGGTTAAATAATGTTATACATTTAAGATTTTTTCTTACCATTACCCCGAATGATTGCACCAAATTTTATTACTGATTGTACAAGTATATATGGTTGCTTTTAATAATAAAATATAATAATTGAAATAAAAGTGTAGGATGTTGGCGTAAAATGGCACCAAAGTAATGAAAATGGTTAAGAAATGTTATACATTTAAGATTTTTTCTAACCATGACCCCGATTGATTGCACCAAATTTTATTACTGATTGTACAAGTATATATGGTTGCTTTTAATAATAAAATATAATAATTGAAATAAAAGTGTAGGATGTTGGCGTAAAATGGCACCAAAGTAATGAAAATTGTTAAGAAATGTTATACATTTAAGATTTTTTTCTAACCATGACCCCGATTGATTGCACCAAATGTTATTACTGATTGTCCTTGTACAGATGATTGCTTTTAATAATAAAATATAATTATTGGAATAAAAGTGTAGGATGTTTGCGTAAAATGGTACCAAAACCACAAAAGTGGTCAAATAATGTGCCACATTTACAAATTATTTTTACCATGACCTTGATTGATTGCACCAAATTTTATTACTGATTGTACAAGTATAGATGATTGCTTTTAATAATAAAATATAATAATTGAAATAAAAGTGTAGGATGTTGGCGTAAAATGGCACCAAAGTCACGAAAATGGTCAAATAATGTTATACATTTAATACTTTTTCTTACCATGACCCAGATTGATTGCACCAAATTTTATTACTGATTATACTAGTATATATGGTTGCTTTTAATAATAAAATATAAAAATTGAAATAAAAGTGTAGGATGTAGGCGTAAAATGGCACCAAAGTCACGAAAACGGTCAAATAATGCTACAAATTTACAAACTATTTTTACCACGACCTTGATTGATTGCACGAAATTTTATTACTGATTGTACAAGTATATATGATTGCTTTTAATAATAAAATATAATAATTGAAATAAAAGTGTAGGATGTTAGCGTAAAATGGCACCAAAGTCACGAAAACGGTTAAATAATGTTATACATTTAAGATTTTTTCTTACCATTACCCCGAATGATTGCACCAAATTTTATTACTGATTGTACAAGTATATATGGTTGCTTTTAATAATAAAATATAATAATTGAAATAAAAGTGTAGGATGTTGGCGTAAAATGGCACCAAAGTAATGAAAATGGTTAAGAAGTGTTATACATTTAAGATTTTTTCTTACAATGACCCCGAATGATTGCACCAAATTTTATTACTGATTGTACAAGTATATATGATTGCTTTTAATAATAAAATATAATAATGGGAATAATAGTGTAGGATGTTGGCGTAAAATGGCAACAAATTCACGAAAATGGTTAAATAATGTTATACATTTAAGATTTTTTCTTACCATTACCCCGAATGATTGCACCAAATTTTATTACTGATTGTACAAGTATATATGATTGCTTTTAATAATAAAATATAATAATTGAAATAAAAGTGTAGGATGTTGGCGTAAAATGGCACCAAAGTAATGAAAATGGTTAAGAAATGTTATACATTTAAGATTTTTTCTAACCATGACCCCGAATGATTGCACCAAATTTCATTACTGATTGTACAAGTATATATGGTTGCTTTTAATAATAAAATATAATAATTGAAATAAAATTGTAGGATGTTGGCGTAAAATGGCACCAAAACCACGTAAATGGTTAAATAATGTTATACATTCACAAATTATTTTTACCAGTACCCCAAATGATTGAACCAAATTTTATTATTGATTGTACTAGTATAGATGATTGCTTTTGATAATAAAATATAATAATTGAAATAAAAGTGTAGGATGTTGGCGTAAAATGGCAACAAAGTCACGAAAATAGTTAAATTAAATGTTATACATTTAAGATTTTTTCTTACCATTACCCCGAATGATTGCACCAAATTTTATTACTGATTGTACAAGTATATATGGTTGCTTTTAATAATAAAATATAATAATTTAAATAAAAGTGTAGGATGTTGGCGTAAAATGGCACCAAAACCACGAAAATGGTCAAATAATGTGACACATTCACAAATTATTTTTACCAGTACCCCGAATGATTGCACCAAATTTTATTACTGATTGTACAAGTATAGATGATTGCTTTTAATAATAAAATATAATAATTGAAATAAAAGTGTAGGATGTTGGCGTAAAATGGCACCAAAACTACGAAAATGGTCAAATAATGCGACACATTTACAAATTATTTTTACCATGACCTTGATTGATTGCACCAAATTTTATTACTGATTATACTTGTATAAATGATTGCTTTTAATTAAAAAAAAATATATAAATATATGCTGCGGGGTGGGGACCGCGTCATGTTGCATATTTTTTTAATGCAACAGAACCCTGCATTACAGCCCAAAAGCATTTTTCAAATTACACATTTATCAATTCTGTTTCTTTAAACAAAATTATAGAGATTGGTTGAAATTCATTAATTAATTCAAATAATTTTTTGAGATTGTAATTTTGTTTAATGCTTTTGAGCTGCCCTCTGCATTATGTGCTTCTGCGGGATATTTACCAATATTTACATTTTCTTTGCTGTTATATCATTATTTCATCATCGAGTGGTGATG